AAGGCCAAAGTGGGCATCCCTGCTGATTCAGCTGTCCATCACACAAAGGAGATTAGGCATTTGGACAGTTAAAGTTGGAAAAGTTTTAAATTCACAACTACCAGTATAGGATATTCAAACTTCGTGGTATTAGACGTTAATTTGATGATAGGATGTACTCTTATATGACGATGCAGCTCAGGAAGGAAGGGTTTTAATATGACTTATTTTGCATATTCTTATTAACAATTACTCTTACGCCATAAGTTTTGGGTTGCGCTGGAAAACTTAATGATAATGAATCGTTGGACCTAAGGATCATTCAGGACTGCAAAAATATATTTTAGATATCATGGTTCTCAATTCTACGCGACCAACGTAATGTATTTAAAGGGTATGACCAAAGCCTTGCCCGACCGCCTTTGTCTCCCCAATAGCTATCATTGCACACCGCGACAGATATTCATTACTTAGGCTGAGTCGAACTAATGGGGGGGGAGGGGGGGAGAATCACAACCAAAGCAGACAAACACCACTGTATCGAGTGAGTGGACTCGAACTCGGCAAAGCAGGCTCAATTGCAGAAGGGATAAACCAGTAAACAAACACCCCAGAGAGAGGAAAACCATTTTAAACACACGGCCACAGATACACACACGTAGCAGTTTCGTCGAGGAATAGGTGACAACGCCTTGCCGTCGCAGCACCATCATTATGGAACAACTTCGTTTACGCCCTTAACATCATGCCTATGACGTAGAAGATTGTTGCTCGATACAACTGCGTTTGCAAATCGTGATTTGTAACGTTCATCGTCACCAATGTATCGATAGCTCCACATTAATATGCCGTTTTATTGCGGGACTGTGTGTTGTCTTGGTGTGGTCTGGGACTGTTTTTGCTGTCGTTTTTTGTCTTGCCCAAGCTTAGGAATTGATGCACTTATCTAATCTTGATCTGAAGCTTTCGTGACTGCAGGAATCCATACTCCTTGGTTCTTTGGGTAAAGTCACGTGGGTAGAAAATAAAATACCTACGTGACTTTACCGAAAGAACCAAAGAGTATCTACTTATACAATGTGCATGTATATACTTTATCTATTGTATGTATTGCTAGTGGCGTGCTTACCTTTCCGAAAACGATTCTATTGTTTGTTGTTGTAACTTTCTGACCTGCCCCTACTTTACATCTGTAAAAGAAGGAGCTTTTGAGCTCATCGGATTTCTCCAGGATAGAAATTCTGATACATAGCGCAATGAGCGCGGGCAGCTGTGAGTAGTGACGTCTCTGACTCAGAAATCAGAAAATCAGTGAAGGGGCAGCAGCTGCTGTTGCTGTAGCCACAGAAGTCGCTCTTAGACGAGGGCGCTGCTGCTGTGTCAGTGTCTTTGCACTGCAGCTGTAGCTGCTGCTGTGTCCGTGTTACTGTACTGCGGCTGTAGCTGCTGCTGTGTCCGTGTCTCTGTACTGCAGCTGTAGCTGCTGCTGTGTCAGTGTCTCTGTACTGCGGCTGTAGCTGCTGCTGTGTCAGTGTCTCTATACTGCGGCTGCAGCTGCTGCTGTGCCTGTGTCTCTGTACTGCAGCTGTAGCTGCTGCTGTGTCCGTGTCTCTATACTGCGGCTGTAGCTGCTGCTGTGCCTGTGTCTCTGTACTGCAGCTGTAGCTGCTGCTGTGTCCGTGTCTCTATACTGCAGCTGTAGCTGCTGCTGTGTCAGTGTCTCTGCACTGCAGCTGTAGCTGCTGCTGTGTCAGTGTCTCGGTGCTGCAGCTGTAGCTGCTGCTGTGTCCGTGTCTCTGTACTGCAGCTGTAGCTGCTGCTGTATCAGTGTCTCTGTACTGCAGCTGTAGCTGCTGCTGTGTCCGTGTATCTATACTGCAGCTGTAGCTGCTGCTGTGTCAGTGTCTCTGCACTGCAGCTGTAGCTGCTGCTGTGTCCGTGTCTCTTTACTGCAGCTGTAGCTGCTGCTGTATCAGTGTCTCTGTACTGCAGCTGTAGCTGCTGCTGTGTCAGTGTCTCTGTACTGCAGCTGTAGCTGCTGCTGTGTCAGTGTCTCTGTACTGCAGCTGTAGCTGCTGCTGTATCAGTGTCTCTGTACTGCAGCTGTAGCTGCTGCTGTGTCCGTGTCTCTATACTGCAGCTGTAGCTGCTGCTGTGTCAGTGTCTCTGCACTGCAGCTGTAGCTGCTGCTGTGTCCGTGTCTCTGTACTGCAGCTGTAGCTGCTGCTGTGTCCGTGTCTCTGTACTGCAGCTGTAGCTGCTGCTGTGTCCGTGTCTCTATACTGCAGCTGTAGCTGCTGCTGTGTCCGTGTCTCTGTATTGCAGCTGTAGCTTCTGCTGTGTCCGTGTCTCTATACTGCAGCTGTAGCTGCTGCTGTGTCAGTGTCTCTGCACTGCAGCTGCTGCTGTGTCAGTGTCTCTGTACTGCAGCTGTAGCTGCTGCTGTGTCCGTGTCTCTGTACTGCAGCTGTAGCTGCTGCTGTGTCCGTGTCTCTGTACTGCAGCTGTAGCTGCTGCTGTGTCCGTGTCTCTATACTGCAGCTGTAGCTGCTGCTGTGTCCGTGTCTCTGTATTGCAGCTGTAGCTTCTGCTGTGTCCGTGTCTCTATACTGCAGCTGTAGCTGCTGCTGTGTCAGTGTCTCTGCACTGCAGCTGCTGCTGTGTCAGTGTCTCTGTACTGCAGCTGTAGCTGCTGCTGTATCAGTGTCTCTGTCCTGCAGCTGTAGCTGCTGCTGTGTCCGTGTCTCTATACTGCAGCTGTAGCTGCTGCTGTGTCAGTGTCTATGCACTGCAGCTGTAGCTGCTGCTGTGTCCGTGTCTCTGTACTGCAGTTGTAGCTGCTGCTGCTGCTGCGTCAGTGTCTCTGTACTGCAGCTGTAGCTGTTGCTGTGTCCGTGTCTCTGTACTGCAGCTGGAGCTGCTGCTGTGTCCGTGTCTCTGCACTGCATCTGTAGCTGCTGCTGTGTCCGTGTCTCTGTACTGCAGCTGTAGCTGCTGTGTCAGTGTCTCTGCACTGCGGCTGTAGCTGCTGCTGTGTCAGTGTCTCTGCACTGCAGCTGTAGCTGCTGCTGCTGCGTTAGTGTCTCTGTAGTGCAGCTGAAGCTGCTGCTGCGTCAGTGTCTCTGCACTGCGGCTGTACCTGCTGCTGCTGTGTCCGTGTCTCAGTACTGCAGCTGTAGCTGCTGCTGTGTCCGTGTCTCTGTACTGCAGCTGGATCTGCTGCTGTGTCCGTGTCTCTGCACTGCATCTGTAGCTGCTGCTGTGTCCGTGTCTCTGTACTGCAGCTGTAGCTGCTGCTGTGTCAGTGTCTCTGCACTGCGGCTGTAGCTGCTGCTGTGTCTGTGTCTCTGTACTGCAGCTGTAGCTGCAGCTGTCTCCTGATGACGATTGCTTGTGTTGCGATCGACACGTCGTAGTTTTTTTATTTTCTTGGTATTTTCTTTGAACCTATCTACGTGACTTTACCGAAAGACCCTAGAATATGAATTCCTGCAGTTACGAAAGTTTTAAGTCAAGATTTATATTACTTACATTATACAAAAAAATTTCAGTTATAAAGCAGTAAATGGGGGGGGGGTCGTCACAAGGGCATCTGGACCACCCTCCACACCCGCCTTTGTTGCAGGCACAGCCTTGTACGTCACTGCTTTATGATGATGTTTACCAAGAGCAGCACGTTTACAATTGCATTGTGGGTAACACTCGTTTACGGTGCGCTCAACTCGCACGTTCATTTTGTTCGTTTTTTGTTGTTGTATTATATACCTTTTTTAAGGACTTGAAATATTTAGTCAACTACTTTTTTTTCAAACTGTCTAAAAAATAACGTAGACTTATTATTATTATTGTTGTAATAGCCCACTTACACAATCACCATTTTTTCCCGACTGACACACAATGTTCTTGGTTCTTTCGGTAAAGTCACGTAGAAGGGAAGTAATAAAATAATAAAAATAAAACATAATAAAATAAAATAATTCTCACGACGTTTCGGCTACAACGCAAGCAGCCGTCTTCAGGTGAAGAATGAGACAATGCCAAGCTAGGAGCTTATATATAAGCTGCGTTGGAGGTGGAAGAAAGAGCGCCTTAACAAAAGAATGTGCATATGAAGAGGAATTTAGCACATTCTTTTGTTAAGGCGCTCTTTCTTCCACCTCCAACGCAGCTTATATATAAGTTCCTAGCTTGGCATTGTCTCATTCTTCACCTGAAGACGGCTGCTTGCGTTGTAGCCGAAACGTCGTGAGAATTATTTTATTTTATTATGTTTTATTTTTATTATTTTATTACTTCCCTTCTACGTGACTTTACCGAAAGAACCAAGAAGATGAATCCCTGCAGTCACGAAAGCTTTAAATCGAACTGACACACAATTGTTCCTTTTGTGCAGCTTCCTGACCCGTGGCATTTGCTCAACGATGTCCCAAGCGGGCAGGTAACAACGCCAGCTTCTCGAATTCGCGAGGAGATTTTCTTTTCGGGGCAATTTGCAGAGATGCAAATCTATGCGGTGCCTTCGGGCATTTTTTGAGCAACTCTTGACATCATTTGTTTTGTTCCTTATAACGCGAGGCTTTGCGAATGTGTTCTGTTTTTATTTTTAATACAAATTGCAGTTCTGAAGATGTGGAGGCACGAGACTTGTAGTACATTTTATTGCTCGTCATACTGTAATGGTAACATCAATAAAAACGTTTCCGTAAAACACAGCACATACCACCAAGATGTGGAGGCACTAGACTTGTAGTTTATTTTATTGCTCGTCATACCGTAATGTTAAGATCAATAAAAACGTTTCCGTAAAACACAGCACACACCACCAAAATAAGGACCACGCGCACTGGCGAGGGTGACGTCCGGTGACACCAGTGGTTCTTAGCGTGGGGATGCGAGACGCGGTCAGATTTCTTTTTAGAAGGTAAATCATCGAAAAGACAAATTAAGCACAGGCACATAAGTACAACGACTACTTTGTTTCATCAACCCCTGCGAATGTATTAAAATTCTAAAAAAATGTCTACGATTGAACACCAAAAGGGTGCAAGGCTGCAGTAAAGGCTAAGAACCACTGGCTAAGAGCACGTGATGGCCTCATGATCCCGACCATTCTACACACGGTTGGGGGAGGCTGCTTTGTAATTGACTAATTCATGGTGACCTTATCTGTTTGTGTTGGGGGTTTCGGTTAAAAATATACATAGGGGTCATTATTTAAGATGATTTTAAAAAATGTTTTTTTCACGTTTTTCTTCTGGGACCCACCTCTATGCCTCCCGCGTCCCATAATGCCGAAATGTGTTAGGTGCGAGGCCTGGCTCTGTATTGAACGGCCCCGCAAGATGTTCTTCCGTGCGTTTGGTTGATCTAAGAGCGGTGCACAAGTTATAAATGCCACCAAAGTTGGTCCCAATCCCAGTTAAAACTTTCACTCGAGTTGCCGGTCCTCCAGAACACAAAATAAATGTTGGCGCATCCCACAAGAAAAGCGTCAGTCCGAGCGGCACAACGTGTTGGAAAAGGCTGCAGCATCAGGAACTACGGATGTGTCGAGACAAATGGTCAGTCCCACACTGGAATGTTACGTGTACACATGGCGGCTCCACGAGCTGGAATGTTTAGTTGCCTATACATACAAACGGGAAGAGGAATGTATAGTCGTATTTGTGCAAGTCTGATCCACGTGTAATCTGATGCACCTTGATGTCAAGGGAGACGTAAGAAACCAGCAGCACTCAGGGCTGCGTCCACGTTGGACACGAGGCTAGCGTTATAGCGCCAGAGTCTTGTATCATAGCTCAGCTGCTCCTTGCTCATCTCCGGCCGCATCGCGTTACGGAAGTGGAACATTCTCGCAGCATTCGTTGGCACGATCTGCTGCCCATGCAGCGAGCGCAGCACGCTGTGCACGGACACGCGCACCACACGCCTCGCCTCCAACATCATCTTGGTGCTGTCGGGCGTGACCGGCTCGTGCAGCACGTGCGTCAGGATGTCGTGGCCCGGGACGCCGCGCCAGCGAGCGGAATAAGTCGCGTGCAAGGTGGCGTTGCGCGCGGAGTGAGGGAACACGTAGTTTCTGAAGTGGAAGACGCTCACACGGTAACGAGACGTCAGCGTCTTCATGAGCCCTGCCCAGTCCTCGTGCTGCAGTGGGACGATTACTTCGTCGATGTCGGTCATCGCCAAGTACCTGCCGGGGGCCCCAAGCAATCAAAAGTCATAAAAAAAACATAGCGAAAAGTCATGATGTCGTGTGAGAAGGAAAGAGGGGGGTGCAATCTACAGCCCAATCCGTTTTGATCATTGAAAGACACTTTTTTATCGAGAGATTATATGGGTTAGGCCACGTCATGAGCCGACAAAGTTCATCATCAATGCCGACGTGTTAAACCAATTTTATGTGATTATAGTTAAGACCCTCCACCACCCGACGGTCACATTGTCACGTACAGGAGTTTAATGAGCCAATTTAAAGTATAAATAAGTATAACCCGTAAAAACAAAGTTTTTCACTATAAACCCTTTATATGCGTGGCGGCTAGAGTCCTCTCGTCCTCTGGCTTGAGATGGCTGCCACCTATGGGTCAGATGATTGTCTGCCAGTATTAAGCAATTGGTAATTAAATATTTAATTTGTTTTCCCTAAAAAGTGTAAAATTTTGGAAAAAAAAATCACGAACGTTAATTGTCTCGCACAACGAGTCTGTGTGCAAAATGTCAGCTCGATTGGATCACGGGAAGTGGGTTAAAAAACGACCGAAAGATTTGCACGGTCGTAAGCAAGCAAGCAAGCACGCAAGCAAGCAAGCGAACTTAATATAAAGGATTTAAATAGTTTTTTTTTTGGTTAGATCGCGTAAATATCGCGTATTTATGCGATGTAGCAAAAATAAAACCTGTATAATGGATGATATTGGTCGCGAACGCCTAAGTGTTAAACCAGTTTTACGTGATTATAGTTTCAGCTCACCAGAAATCGGAGAGCAAATGTACACAAATTAAATTGACAAATGGATGCAACGTTTCATTTGAAGCTACGTCAAGCATGAACAGTAGCAATCTCATGTTAGTCAGAATTAGATCATGACTTGGCCTACCCGCCCCAAAAATAAATATTAGAAAGTACAATATGGACGATTTAAGTTAAAGCCCATTGGCTATTTACTGGTGGATGAAGGCCTCTTCGCTGCTTGGCAATTATGGGGTAAAGTAAGTGTTTGATCAACATGGCTGACTGCTGATGATCCCTAAATGACGTCACGCACCTAGGGGGGGGGTCAGACATTTGTGACGATGTGTGACGAGGGGGGGAGGGGTGTTGAGAAATGTGACGTCACATAAAAATGCGCAACTTTTAATAAATATAGAATTGTTATATCAACACTAATTGTTATAGCAACACTCCTACAACATCAGAGTGCAGCGCCACATTAAATACGCACTACAATGACAATAGTTTAAGGCGATTTGAAGCATGTTTTATTTTCAAAATGGAAATATGGTTTTGGGGAGGGGGCAGAGCTTTGTGACGTCATATTTGAGGGGGGGGGGGGTCTGACTTTTTGTGACGCCGTGTGACGAGGGGTCAAAAATCTTTCAAAATCGCGTGACGTCATTTATGGACGGCCCCCTAGACGGGACCCTCGATAATCGCGGGGGTTACATTCTTGCAAAGTGCCGCAAAAGCCAAAATCACGAAATTAAATACTTAAACTTTATCAAAACAATGGCGTTAGGTATACGGCAACCCAAAATAGACACGGCGATTTAAATAGGTACGGTACTGTATTGCAAATAACTAGAGATATTCATAGACAATAAATACAGAATAAAACTGTTCTTACCGATGATCCAAATCGGGTGTGTGTTTGTTTGGCCACGGGTAGAGAGCGTGGTCAGCGCGCTGCACTACGAACCCGGCGACCCGAGTTCGATTCCCGCTCACGGCCAACACCAGTGACGATTATCTGAACCTGGGCCTCCCCTAGGTCGACTCAGCCTCAAATGAGTCCCTGGTGCGACGTGTAAATATCGCCACTGGGGAGACAAAAGTCGAGGTGCGAGCCACCCACCCCCGCGTGTGCCACAGTGCCGACCTTCATAAGTGCTGCACGCTAACAGCACTTGCCCCAACAGTCTGTTAAGGCTATATGGCGGACCTTTGTCTTTGTCCGCGAGATGCTTGCACGGCACAGGTTGATGTGCCACCAACTGTCTCGCCCGCCCCACAATACAGTACTTGTCCGTGTACGTTATACCCGCGAAATGCCAAAGCTATCCCTCGCTATAAATTGGTGTACAAAAGATGACAAAATTCGCAATTTAGAGGCCTTCAATCCACTGCCGGATGAAAGCCTCCCCATGCCACTTGCTTATGGGAGTTGTTTGACCATAATTTCGACGTGTTTATCTTTGAAAAAAATAACAATAGGTTTACCTATATCATTAGACCTACTTTGCCAGTACCAAAATATAATAATAGGGTTTTTCCCCTTTTTTCTGGCAACAAAACTGAAACCTTTTAGAAGGATTTTGACTGCAAATATTGTGATTAATGCAGACATGAATCCTTGTAAAAATGTTTCAGTTTTGTTGCCAGAAAAAAGGGGGAAAACCCTATCATTAGGTTTACCTATGTTAATCTTTGCCAACTGGTGAAGGGCATGAGTCATTAAGGATCTATTCAGATTTCACTCCTCACCGATGGATTCTAACTGGGGCAGTAGGGATCATGGCACAGTACGCCAACAGCTGCGCCACCACTCACACCCTCCACATTGCAGCTCAGCCCATACGTAGCCATCTCATCGATCTGTACAGTAAACCCAGTTGCCCACGTTAACCAGTCATTCACTCTTGTCGCACAGCGCAGTGACGTGACATCGCTCGCTCAGAGCATAGACAGAGCAGAGAGTGTCACATCAGAGAGTGTCACGTCAGATAGGGTCACATCAGAGCGTGTCACGTCAGATACCATACCTGTCAATCCATAAGGTTTACCCGTATTCTTGTACAGGGAAACTAAGTTTTCAGGTCCATACGGCGTACAGCCGTGGTCTATTTTTAGAATGTATCTTTTGTGATGGGACTTTGTAGGATGAACGTTGCTATTTACAAGGGCACGGGTGACCAATAATGTCTGAATTGGTCTGTAATAAGGTAGGGCACTCATAAGGGGTTGACACGTATGCGATACAATTCTCTAAGCCGGTACCTGGTGTCGTCCATGCGTCGGTATAGGCAGTCATTGAGTGCAGCCGTTTGGCCGTGGTAATGCACGTCGCCCGGATCCACATTCGGCATCCAGCCACTGGAGGGCTGCAGGTGGATCCCGATGGGCCACGGCACCACCTCGACAATGCCGGCGGCCTGGTAGTGCGCCAGCAAGCGGGCAAGCATGGGCCCACAGCCGCTGTTGTAGACAGTGACAATGCTAGCACCCAGGAGTCGGTAGAGCTCCACGGCCTGAGCAAACTGCAGGACGTTGTCGTATCCACCGAACAGCGTCGAGATGCAGACGCCAAACTCGTGAGTGAAATTCCTCTCCTGGCCCAACGGTCCCCGTGCACCGCGGTAGAATGGGGTGAAGGAGGGCCGGGGCGTTGCTAGCTCAGAGTAGGAGGAGGAATTGGGCCCTGGCGCACGGATAGAAATGGGCACGGGGCTCTCGGCGGGCACCAGAGTGACCCCTTGGGGAGTTGAACAGGCGTTGACATTGGGTGGGGTGCACAGGACGTCAGCCGTGGCCCAGGGGAAGTTGAAGTGGAGCCTGTGCACCTCCACACGCGCTGGCGAATGCACGAACGGCTCGCTACTTGCGCCGCCGCAGCAGAAGAGGCAGCGAAGCGCGGGCAGACCCTCCCGCTTGACGATGGTGAGTAGACGCGCCTGGGCAGGGCCCTCGCGCTCATCCCAGGAAGCGGACACGAGCAGCGCTGGGGCTCCGGTCACAGGCGTGAGAAGCACAGCCGAGGGCCCGCAGGGAGAGCTCAGCGGTGGCTCAAAGTTGGTCCGGTTAAGGGGCTGCTCAAGATTCCCATCACTCTGTCTGCTGGAGCCTGGGGGGGCCATGCCAAGCAGGGTCCAGGGGATGTCGGTGATGGCAGCGGCGAACAGCAGCGAGCCCACGAGCAGGAGTGCCGCGAAGTGCCGGAACTTCATCACGATGGACGGCTCCTACATGAGAGCATCCATGGATCATTATTATTTTATTTCACTTGTTGAACCAGGAAGCATCACTAGATCTCGAACCTTTGTTTGAATGAGGGTCCTGCCAAGTTTTTGTAGTAAAGGATACAATTGGTGCGTGTAATCACTAATTTGCAGGTATTTTTTTCAACATTAGGATACATTGCACACCGCGTGTAGAGGACATTTAATTATCACGCATTAACTCTTGTAAGGCCAACATGACTAGTTTTAATGATCACAATAAGGCACACATACTTGTGCACGCAGTTCCAGCTCTCGGCTAGGAGCAACGTAATGTCGTCATTCAATTTCCTTCACAATTTCTATCCAGCAATACAATTCACTTCGTTAATTCACAGCTTCTTTCTGAACATGAAACCGTCCATCTTAGACTCACACTTCTACTTCCTCTGCACATCATCGCACCCTGACCACACGAAATGGGCAATATCATTGTGACATGTTGTCTGCCTTCATTCCTTGCGCAGTATTAATGGGGGATTCAAACGACAAAGCCAATGAAACGAAAAGGATATTCAGTGCTCACAAATACCATGAACAGGTAGTAGACAGTGCCTGCCAATGTGCCTCCTCGGTCAACCGTAAAAAAAGATGCAACCAGTTAACCGAGAGCATACAGGACAGGGTGCAGTTGTCCTGACAACAACAACAAGCGCCATTTGCCACTAAGTGGCGGTGATGTCACCACGGCGCTTGTGCCAAGCTAGGTGCACTTTGAGGCCACGTGAAGTGTCAAATGCTCGCTGGCAGGTCACGGCAAAGACCCAGCACTTCAGCAGGAAGCACAAACATCAGGGACCAGCTCGTATACGGCTCAATGCCAAACGCCAGCAATAACAAACCACAATTAGTTTTTTTTTTCGATTTAAAGCTTTCGTGACTGCAGGGATTCATCTTCTTGGTTCTTTCGGTAAAGTCACGTAGACGGGAAAAAATAAAATAATAAAAATAAAACATAATAAAATAATTCTCACGACGTTTCGGCCACAACGCAAGCAGCCGTCCTCAGGTGAAGAACAGGTTCTTGGTGATGTCGTCTAAAATGTATCGTAAGCCCTCATCCACCCGACACAGCCAATGGATAAAAGTGCCGCATGAATTAAATGCGCCAAAATGTATTGCTGCTTCAGCATAACCCGTGTGTTGTTGGGGGGAGGAAGCGCACATCATTTAAAATGGTTACGGAAGTTTCGCCGTAGATTGCACCCATCTCCCTCGGGTTGTGCGGAGTTTGTATGTGTTCTTCATTACCTCCCCTTGTTTTGAATTTGTGCTCGATCGCACCTTGCCAGCCTGTGTGTGTGTGTCCATCACGAGGCGAGGAGTATGAACAGGTGAGGTGAGCGAGCGAGCCTGTGGACTCATACCTGCTTGCAGCCTCGGTGAGTTCACAGTCCGTTCCTCCGATGAGCACGGTTAGCCACGTACGTCGCGAAAAAATCCGAATCTTGATTTATCTCGGATAAATCAAGAATACGCTACGACGCTCTTTGTCACAAACGCCCAGTAGGGGTGGGTAAGAAAGTTCCAACAATTTCTTTTTTAAACGATATGAGTGCAAAGTATAGGAAAGGTAAGCAAATCAATAAAATACATGGAAACTAAAATAAATGGAAACTAGACTACTTTTATATTGCCAGGTAAAATTATACTGAGCTAAAGAGCTATTTTTCAGAAACGATGCGTAAATGTATCTCAGCCAAATGCACGCTCCTCGCTCCCCGACGCGAGACTGAGAATCCAGGACTTCACCACCTCGCAAGGTGCCTGGGCCCGTTCCCTCTACCCATCCCCCCTCCACACCGCAATTCTCATTCACCTGCACTTCAGGAAACCCTGTCCAAGACCTCCCCCCACCCACTCTCGTCCCCACCCCCTCCCACCCATCCCCTCCCCCTCTCACCTTTCCAATCCCCTCCCACCCCCACCCCCTCTCACCCACCCACCCCCTCCCACCCGCCCCACAACCCCCTCCCACCCGTCCCACCCCCCTCCATCCCGGCCCCCCCCACAACCCCCTCCCACCCGTCCCACCCCCCTCCATCCCCCCCCACAACCCCCTCCCACCCGCCCCACAACCCCCTCCATCCCGGCCCCCCCCACAACCCCCTCCCACCCGTCCCACCCCCCTCCATCCCCCCCCCACAACCCCCTCCCACCCGTCCCACCCCCCTCCATCCCGGCCCCCCCCACAACCCCCTCCCACCCGTCCCACCCCCCTCCATCCCCCCCCCACAACCCCCTCCCACCCGTCCCACCCCCCTCCATCCCGGCCCCCCCCACAACCCCCTCCCACCCGTCCCACCCCCCTCCATCCCCCCCCCACAACCCCCTCCCACCCGCCCCACAACCCCCTCCGACCCGGCCCCACACCCCTCCCACCCGGCCCCACCCCCCTCCCACCCGGCCCCCCTCCCACCTACCCCCCTCCCACCTACCCCCCTCCCACCTACCCCACCTGTGAATCTTAAACTCTGCGGCTTGGTGTATTAACCGGTTCACTCAGATGCCACCGTAAGCCAGCTGGAATGAAATCGAAATCACCACATCAGTGATCTGAAAAAATGTGGAAGAAAGTCGGCGGTGCCATGGCACCTGGGTCTGTCCCGAAACCTCCTGCTCGCAGCGAGCCTTCGACACTTCACGTTGCCTCAAAGTGCACCTGGGCTGGCACAGGCGCCGTGGTGACATCACCGTCGCATTGGTGTTGCCCGAAGGGAGGGATCTTTGCAACCCCCCCCCCCCCCCCCATGTATGGTCCTTGTGGATCGTGAATCGAGCTGTGTTGGAAGGATTCTGCTCAGTCGATCCGACAAACAGCGGGTCGAAGTCGATGGGGCCATCCCCGGCTAAAGTGTCCATTTTTGTTATCTTAAATTACATTCTGCGGTTCACGAGGCGTACGGAACAACGGTATTTGATGACCGATTTTTACGTTTTATGTTAATCGGACTGCTATGTTAAGTCGCTTTGTAAATTGTCCTTTTTATGCTCATTAAGCAATGTTATGTTGATGTACAATTTGATCGCAGACGGAATTCAGTTCTACCGTAATCTTACTTAATGTGATGTATTAAACTTTATTCTGCGAGCGCATACAAGTAGTTCGGACGATGAACCATATGGACATTTGAGGTTAACCTGATTTCTGGAAGCACATGTTTTATTTGGGCAACAGATCTCGACAAGGCATGGCAAACAATGACTTTACACCCTGATAAATGGAGACGTGAGTAGAACCTCAAATGCTGCCACACACCCCAGAGAAATACAACAACCGCCATTTGTCACCGAGTGGCGGTGATGCCACAACGGCGCTTGTGACATGCTAGGTGCACTTTAATAGAGGTTTTTTTGGGTTAGATCGCGTAAATATATAAATGTGTCGTTAAAACCCGTCACCACCCGACACAGCCAACTAGTAAGGGTTGTCACGTAAACAGAACGTGCCAATTCGTCACTAGTACAGAACTAGTGTGTAGTGTATAGTAGTGTAGTGTATAGTGTAGTGTATAGTAGTGTATAGTGTAGTGTATAGTGTAGTGTACTAGTACAGCACACCGGTGTGTTGGAGAGCCAAGCCACAACATTTAAAATCTGAGTACGACGCTTCGCCAGTAATTACAACTAGCTTCATCAGGCGACAGCCAGATTTGTAGAGAAGTCGAACTGTCTGTTCCTTATTTAGTGGCGCAAATGTGGTGACCACGCTTGTGCGCTCTTCCGCAAAGTGGGGGGTGGGGGATTACTGGGTCCACGTACATTATGCATGTGCATTATGCGAGCCCTTTGACCTTGTCCTTCCTTACTCTTTGGTTCTTTTGGTAAAGTCACGTAGGTAGAACAAATAATAGATCATGATGTTTCGATCGCAACTCAAGCAATCGTCATCAGGTGGTCTGCTTGAGATATGAAACGCCCTCTCAAGAACACGACGAGGTTCTTGAGAGAAGGTGATGCCGATAGCAAGGCGGTGGTGGCTGTGCACACCTGTAATCCAGAACTGTGGAGGCGAGGGGTTGGTGTATTACACAAATGTTGCGAAACTCCGTTACCATGGGCGTCAAGGTGCCCTACCCTGGCTCGCCAGAAGGCTGGACAGAAAGTGGACTAATCTCCATCTCTATCGATACGGGGAGTGTTGCCCCTCATGCACGTGGTTGTTCTCCGCGTACTCCAGTTTCCTGCCACTTGTATAAATACTCACGAATTGGCTGAAAACATCTTAAAATAAAATAAAAAAATCTCAATGCAGGATCCTCCTGAAAACATAGTCACGCAGCACTCAGTGATGAAATCCAAAACTATAATTAATCTTAAAGCCATATGTGTGTAGGGTTACTTAATTGCTCTTGGCTGACTCAAGGTAACGTTAGGAAACGTCCTGGTTCGGCCTTTACAAATGCCACCTCCCAACGCTCTCGTCCTCCCAGTTCTCTGAAAAGCTCCTGTTAGGCTTAAACATCTCCCTCCACCCCCTCCTCTCCATCCTTTTTAAATAAACATGCCTTTACTTGAACGACGCGAGCGTTTCACCCCCAAGTCCTAAAGGCAGCACTTCCATTACTAATAGTGAATAGATTAAATACACACATACCCTTTCTTTGAATCTACAAACATTGAGGGTTTTTTTAATAATAACAAATCATCAGGGGTTTCTGTTAAAACTACTCCACACTCATTCCTAGCCACCGCAACAGCTCTGCAAACGCGAAACACACAGGGCTCGAATACAGAACGACTTGCGAAATTTGAGACATGATATAAGCCTGGTTGTAACTCAGGTTCCATAGGGGAGTTAATGAAAAAAATTACCTGGTATAGTTAGGACGGAATTTAAAGGTGCTTAGCACTACTTTTGCAGCAGCTGTAAATGTATGAAAAAAATTGCTGGTAATTATAATGAAAGTACAATTATTCTGAACATTAATATTAATGTAATTCATAGTAATTGCATAAATAAATATAATAAATACATAGACTTACCACGTTGACAGACCGGCTGAAGTTTACAGAGCGGGATTGTTGCAAGTATGTACGTTGAACTTCTTTCACACCGTGCGTTAGAAATAAGTCAGAGGTGCGGAGCAAGGACAAAAAAAAAACACAAATAGTTCTAAACACTTGCGTTTTCAATCTAGATGATCATTTAAAAGTGCCTAGCACCGGTGGCTTCCTAATATTGGAAGAGCATCCCAAACGGCCGCAGAAGCCCATCTGAAAGCGTACGATGTGCCGACCGTTTTTGTTCAATGGTTAGCCAAAAGCCGCTGTGAGGATGACCGGAGTTTGCGTGATGGATATAGTTGCGACTCAACTCAACATTCATCCAATATGAAAGAAGAGGCAACAGCTTCTGTACTCACCGGGGTTGTCTTCCTGAAGGCAAATTGGTTGGTGCAGAGGGAGTAATGACGACATCCCTAGCAACCTCTGCCATGCCCCTATATTCCCGATCTCACTTTGACTCGCATATTCACTTTTAATAATGTATTTATATTTTGCCTCATGGACATTGCTGAGCTTACCATTCACAATCTGCCGGATTTTTTACGAACATTTTCTGTACTCGGGTCCCTGAATTGTTTTACAGGAAATAATTGAAGAACCTACTGAATAAATTGCAAGATAATTTGTACTGCGTGAATAAGGCTATCCAAAGTTATTACTCTCTACCACAGCTCTGCGATGCAACTATCCATCCAGCATTTGCACATGAGATTAAATCATTGCTCAATCTCATATTTGCTAATGACAATGGTTATCATGATACACGGCAATCTAATAAAGGTGACAAATTGGGTCTCAAGATAAATTTAAGCAAAACAAAAGTCATGCACAATAAGTTTGCATACAACTGAAAATATGTTGGAGGGAGGGGCACAACTCTCGTGTACCTATTTAAGTTATTGAAGGCAGACTGGGATTTAAATTATGAAATACGATATGGAGGCGAGCAAAAGCAGATTGGGATGCTTTGTAAAACTGAACTCGGTCATGAAAAACAACATACCAATGGGCCTTTAAAAACAATCCATCAGTACATATGAAAAATATGGACACCAACAAAAAAATTATGCAAAAGCTAAAATGTGCACAAAGAAAGATGACCACGCAGATCAAACACGAGTTATAGACATCATATTCAATCATCGCGCATAGTCATTGCGCCAAACGTGTGACCTCTTGCGGCAGCATTCACATAAACTGATCTTGCTGCCAAAGCAGTGTCCCGAGTGATTTGTTTGATCCTTGTGTGGCACATTAGGAATGGATCACTCTTTTAATTATGTCCTTGTGCAGCAAGGGAGTAAAGTGTGGTTCTGTGAAAGTCCTGATGTGCTGTGCAACGTAATGCATTGTAACGAATTATAACTTTTATTAAAGGACGACCTTAGAACACTCGCATCTTTAAAGTTCAAGTTAAAGTTCATTTATTAGGTATAGCCCTGTGAGCCATTCGGCTCTTGAATCGGGTGCAACCGCAACAAACAAAAAAAACAAAAACATGAACAAAAAACATCTTAAAGTGAATATGTGACTAAGTGCAAACAGAAAATCCAAGAAAAGACAGCAGAATATTCCAGAAAAACACCGTACAGCAACGCTGTGTGCAAAAATCCCAGTGGGATGCAAGTCAAACAACAACAACAACCACAAGACAACTTAAAGCCCTGCATGAAGAGACGAGGAGTGAACACACGATTTAGTCTCCAGACTGAAGTTCACTGGTTGTCA